GAAAAGAGTCTTTCAATTGCTTTAGATGTGTCGTTGTAGCTCCATTTGAATTTTTCATACTTTCAATATATTCTTTTTGTTCATCTCCACAAACAGTCTTAACAAATTCACATAATATATTATTAGTTGTTGATAAATTGACCGTACAATCAGTTGTAGTACTAATAATTTGTTGCATAGACGCTAAGCATTCATTTTGTACCCGGACTTGCTGTTGTAGAATAAGCCATCCTTTTTTAACTGTTTCAATTTGTTTTTCGTATAGACTGTTGATTCGTTTTTTCTCTTCGTCAAAATCTTTCTTTATCTTATTCAATTCATTGTCAAATGCTCTAATTGCCGGATCCAAATATTCCTTTGACAGAGATGTATTAGCCACTTCTTGTCGACTAGTCCAATAATTCATAGTTGGAGGATGTGAAGAGTTGCTTGAAGTGGTAATAGGAGGAGCAGAATATTCGCAACGAGAGAAAGTTAGAATTCGATCACGATCATTGGGCTTTCGACAGTCAATTGGAATAAACATACGTACATGTACTGGTAATTTGTCAGCATTATTTTTTAATTTATCTAAAAGGTTTTTCCGAAAATTAACTATTGTAGGACATTTATAATCTGTCGATATATGATTACCACGACAATGATGACACTGAATCACACATTCAGTATGGTTATCACCGTTATCTTTATCTTGACCACATCGTCTACATATAGAATAAGGAGCCTGACAGGCTTTCTTAATATGACCAGGTAAATTACATTTCATACAAATAAGAATCTTTGGTGGAGGTAAATATTCATCGACGTCAAGTACAAGTCCTTGAATTACAATTCTCCCCTCATAGAGAATTTTCTTGTATTCATTTTGTTGCTTGAAGATCACACGAATATGCCGAGCGCTTGTCCTAGTAGACCCTTTCATTTCATTAGCCATAAATATAGAAGAAAAACGTGATTTCACCTCATCCAATACATCACGTGAGCTATTTCTTTTATCAATTTTTGAAATTTTTGTCAATTTTATAAATATTATTACTTAAAACAATATATATGTTGATATGAGTGTAACGACAAGGTTATTTCGTGATCCTAAAGAAGATCAAGGTAAGCATAGAAATATTGAAGGACTTGTAGAGCAACGTCGACAAAAAGTGGCAAGATCAAGATCAGATGACGAAGATATGGATACCCCTATGAATGATGATCAATCTACTTGTCCTAAAACACCCAAAACTGCACGTTATAGTGGTCCTCATCAAGAAAAAATTTATATAAATAGAAATCTTCAAAGACGGTTCAATGAACAGGAATATATTAATCCTGGTCAATATTCTGAACAGATTCTTATTTCTGATCAAGCCATAGCACATTCTGTCGATACCCGTCTACCTATGATTAGAATACAGTGTAGTCCTGCTCTCCGATCAAAGGAAACTGGTGTTCAGTTTATAAAGGATTTTATGAAATATATTGAATCGAATTTTCGTGTTGAATATCCAGGTCATAAAGACCCAATTGGATTAGATCAGTGGTGGCTCTAAGGTGATGGAAACTTTCTTTGTGGTGTTACGGACGATATTGATTTTTATATGTATTTATGTGATGATAGTCATTATCCATTTTCTATTGGTAATGTCCAGATTAAACTGGAACCATCAAAACAACTAACTGTGCAGAATTCTGTTATAATTAAGTTCGTTCCTACTTCTATCTCAAACGAATCAATGAACTCTTTTGACTCATTGCTCAGTTCAACTAAAATCGATCAATTTCTTAATGTCAAAGTTAGAATATTTTTTTATCAAAATGATCAGCGCAGATAGCTCCACAAAGTCTGATAGACGAAGAAATTTTCTGAGAACCTTTTGTTTTTATGGCTGACTGACCACAGTAGCGCATGTAGACATTTACTCCACGTGATAGAGCGACTAAAACTGCATCAAACAGAGTTTTTCTTGAGTTTATATACGGTGCTTCTCGTACGGTCAGTAAAGGGATCAATTCCGTATACCGTAGGATTACCATACCGGATCGGGTAAACTTGTCTGTTCGAGCAATATTTCCCGACCAGGTAAGATAAAAGGATTGCCTGATCGGGCAAGATACCTTACCCGGAGGGGCAATAAAAATCTGGCCTGAACGAGCAATATTGCCAAATCGGGCAAGATAAATTGCGCATGTGTTTGCTATCCGTCTCGGTCATAAAAGCGAAAGAAGACTGAACACTTAACTTTAATATATGGTGAATAATCAGTGCACGAGGAGTAGAATAAACAGTTCTCGCCTCTTAGACGACTGATGATTCTCGAGATCAGATCTTGTCCGAAAGGGCAAGTTGCATGTTCAGGTAATATTGCCAATCGGGCAAGTGAAAACGGGCTGACAGACAACCATGGAACTACAGGAACAGTTACCAAATTATCCAAACAGCCAAATTAATCCACAAATACGTACATTAGATGCAAACACCTAAGTTGTTAGAGAATTAGAGTTGTTCGTCACATTTATTGTATTTATATTAAACAAACCCTCTATCCGAAGATACGCGGAACACAGAAAGTCGGAGAAATTAGAATAATAAACGATAGAGCAGCGTTTACATCGACCCTTCCAAATTGTGGCAGGAATTCTTCGCTAAATTTCATAACACACAACATACAGTGTGTCCAAAGTCCCTTGTGGAAAATATTTTTGAATTACTCCTCTGTTCCATTGAACTTAATCAATATTTTTTTTTCATACGATGCATATCACCGTCAAGTTTTTATTGATATGAAAAAAGCCTACAAATATTGCTCAAAGGTATCACCTTGGACAGAAATACAAAAATCCATTCTTTTGCGGATTTCCGGAAAAACATTGCACAATGTTTCTGTTTTTATCGCTTTGATTTCTCGAGTTATTCTCGTCTTTAAATCGACGATGTGCTTTATCTTTTTATAATGCAAATAACATTGTACGCGTAAACATGAGCGTTGGTTGCAACAATATTTTGCGACACAATTTTCTATGCTGGCATTCACTGATAATCTTGAGGGCATTGAACTTGATAGTTCACGTTTACTGACACTCCAGCTCAGTTGGGGATCTAAAACATAATAAATGTTTATTTGTCTTTAGAACGACATGTTCGTACCGTGAACAGAACTGTTCATTAGTTGTGCGGGCATTAAAAGACCATGTGTACGTGATAATTGCTTCTCTTCATAAATTAAATCTATCAACGGGTATGACATCTTAATCAATGTATTATTGTATGGAGTATGCATGACCTTCGTATTAGCACTTATTTCAGTGAAATTAATAGGTGATCTTTGATCGTTTTCCCATTTCGGCGTGACGTTTAATAATTCATCATCTGGAAATTCATAGCAATGGCATTGAGCTGAAGTTCCTCCATTGATTATTTGGAATCGTTTTTTAAAGTATACGTAGACATACAGCCTCTAATTCGGCAAATGATTTGAATCAAACGGGAATTTATTTGCAAGAACATGCCCTCAAGATTATCAGTGAATGCCAGCATAGAAAATTGTGTCGTAAAATATTGTTGCAACCAACGCTCATGTTTACGCGTACAATGTTATTTGCATTATCAAAAGATAAAGCACATCGTCGCATTGCAGTCGATCTTTTGTATAAAACTTGTATGATACTAACCGGTGATTTCCTTCAAAATAATGAAAAATCTATGGAAACATTTGTCAAATTTTTATCTTCTACACCGTCAGATCAATCGTCTGCTGACACACTCGAGAACGTATTAGCTGCATTCGGTATCCGTCGACAACTATGTTTCGACGTGTTTAACAATTATCATTCCATCCACCGCTAGGAGGGCGGGTTATGATTAACTCAGGACGGCGTACAGTTAATGAAAACTCATTTCAAACAGTGCAGAGTTTCATATGAGCATATCATGCCACACCAGAAAGGTTGGTTCTAGTTCACAAACTGTATATGTCTAATTGAATGTTTTTCTTAAAAGACGATCAACCACCTACTTCTGGAGACTCAGACAATAATGATTTCAAAAGGTCTGGAATTGTTGTCAATAACGCAAAAGATAAACATATGACCGAGTTCAATGCACCAGTTACTAATAAGATAACCCTGTTATCGGAAACTGAAGGCAAAACCAAAATAGAGTTATTACACTCTTGAGTATGCTTTTCTTTTACCATCTGGATGATAACAGTGAAACAAATGACAGTGATTTATCAAATAATGTTCCGTTAATTCAACAAAGAAATAACCAATGTGAATCAAAACAGCTACGATCAGTCTTGCTGACCGGAACACATAGTATTCAGTCCAATAACAAAAAAAGGCAACCGCAAGTATCAGAAAAATAGGCTGTACATGTTGGAAAGCGGACGCGTCTCCCAAAGAAAAAGTAGTTTGCCCCTGATCATTAACTTTCTAGTTTTTCATTTTTTTTACATTCATCTCAGTAACATTTCTGCAGCAGGTCTACTATCAGTAAAATAACGTCTCCTCGCCACAGTCCCCAATTTTCCTAAGAAATGTTAACAGTGTTACAGCTACTCGAAAGACTTATCCCTCCACGGATTCGATGTCTACACATCGAGTACAACTGAAGTGCACCGAATCAGCTCGGTGTTATTCATATAGGCGATGCGCACAGTCAGAAGTGTTTGGGACTTCATACTTTATTGAGGAGTGTACAAATATCGTGTATATACCGCGTAGGGTACCTCATTCTAAGAAACAACACAATCTAAAATGAATATATCAACTTCAAATAAATTTCTCATCACTCATACAATATCTGTCAAGCTTTTGAAAAAAGATGTTTCTTTCTAGAAACAATGAGGATGTATCAATACGATATACTTCTTTTCTGCATTTTGACAAATATGAATGATGTCATCATGTGAAACACAGACAAAAAAAATGCCACGTGGAAGAAAAGCACCGTGTCTTATTCGATACGATCTTAATATGAAGGCAAACTGAATTGAAAAGAGTACAAAATGAAATCGATGAAAACAAAACATACATGGTTAATATTAATGAATACGATATTTCTGTTTGCCATCGCACTGGTAAATCTAAAGATGGGAAACCGCGTCAGTTAATTGTGAAATTCTGTTCAAGATATGTTCGTGATTCATTTTTATCTGGAAATTCACAACTCTA